ATAAACACGAATCCGTCCATCACCCCTGGTGAGACAAAACCGTGACTCATCAGTGAAGAGCACTTTTTGCCACTCCTGTCTGGTCCAGCGAAGGTGGGTTTGTGCCCATAGGTGGCGTTGTTGCTGGTGATGTCTGGTAAGGACCTGCCTTACAACAGACGTACAAGCCCTCAGTCCAGCCTCTCTCAGCCTATTGCGGACAGTCTGAGCACTGATGGAGGGATTGTGTGTTCCTGGTGTGACTCGGGCAGTTGTTGTGGCCATCCTGTACCTGTCACGCAGGTGTGATATTCGGATGTACCGATCCTGTGCAGGTGTTGTTACACGTGGTCTTCCACTGCGAGGATGATCAGCTGTCCTTCCTGTCTCCCTGTAGCGCTGTCTTAGGCGTCTCACAGTGCGGACATGGCAATTTATTGCCCTAGCCACATCAGCAGTCCTCATGCCTCCCTGCAGCATGCCTAATGCACGTTCACGCAGATGAGCAGGGACCCTGGGCATCTTTCTTTGGGTGTTTTTCCACAGTCGGTAGACAAGTCTCTTTAGTGTCCTGCGTTTTTAGAACTGTGACCTTAAATGCCTACTTTCTGTAAGCTGTTAAGGTCTTAACGACCATTCCACAGGTGCATGTTAATTAATTGATTATGGTTAATTGAACAAGCATGGAAAACATTGTTTAAAACCCTTTACAATGAAGTTCAGTAAAGTTATTTGGATTTTAACAACATTATTGTTGAAATACACAGTCCTGAAAAAGGGACGTTTCTTTTTTTGCTGAGTTTATATTTCGATGTATATACGTTTCCGTTCAGGTTTGAGGTTTTCAATGTCTAAGTTTACCCTCATATCACGCCACACTGACCTCTTCCGGCCTTCTAACACGTCATGATCACTGGATGCTTCGTTCCGTTTACTTCGGAGGTCGGAGCTGTGATAGACACGATCAACTCGGAAAACGATATGAACGCCTGCAGCAACATCTTTGCGCTTTGTTGTTGTCTGTACAAGCAACGCATAAACAAGTTATTGCAATCGCTCGCCTGACTGAGCTTTTTTTTTAATCTTAAATCACATAAATAACCAATCGTGTCCCTATCAATGAAGCTCGAGTAGACTAGTGGGCTAATATCAATTATCACAGACATCTTTGCAAACACTAAAACGTTGGCAACTTCACTAATGTATGAAAAATGCAAACACATCATATATAATAGCAAATTACTTGTTAAAAGTAATTAAACGGCGTTTGTAATATTACTCTCGTCAGTCACGACGGAGGACGCCATGATTGTAGTTTTTATGACGTCAAGTCAGGTAAATCGGGCCATTGAATTTCTGCAAGAGTTTCCAAGCAAAAAAAAAATCCAAGTAGACCAAGCGCTCAAAACTCTTCGTCCGGCTCGGCGCTTGTGTCCCTCAATTTCCACCGCGTCGCGAGCTGAGCACAGGAGCGCCGCCGTGTCTCGCAGAGCACGCGACGCAACTTCCGGGGGACGGAGCTTCTGCGCAGGTCCGTAAACAGGCAGCTAGCTGGAGGTAAAAAGGGCGGTTGATTACTGAAAAGGTAGCTAGTTGGGGTAAACCGAGGAAGCGCTGTCACTTACGGGGGCAGGACAAAGGACGCCGCAGAGGAACTGCCGGCAGCTAAAGAGTACGGTGAGCGGAGAAAATACGGCTATATGTGGTAATAATGTGATAACATTGCCTGTCTTTGCAGCATATAAACCGCTCAGGACAGCTTCTACAATACCGAGACAATTGCGACAATGTCACCGCGTTAACTACAGTGTTGCCGCAGTCACTGTCACCTGCGAACCGGTGACCGGTTTCTGTAGTATGGCTTCGTGCTCACGCTGACAGCCCAGTCGGAGGTGCAACAGGGCAGTTGGGTCCAGGTGTGTGGGCTGTTTTTACCCCCCCCCCCCCGCTCAGGTTAAAATGTGCATTAATGTGGTCGTTTCAGGTATGTCCATGTAATCACGCGGAAGGTCAAATAAGCAAGAAAGCTTCACTCAGTTTTTCAAAAGAACACACTTCATACAGAAAAGCGTTAACAGGTATCATTGGAAGCTGTTACTTAAAATTTGTTTTGTCGTTAGTACCCGGTTCGCTGTTAAATGCGATTTTTGGAAGGTTTTGCGTGGCTTTGCAGGTTTGTTCCTACGTTAGTTTGCTTACTGTGCTTGTTGACCATGATGTGTAAGGATGTGCTGTGACGTTATTAGTTAGGGGGACAATGAATGTGTAAAAGGAGCATCTGGCACGACAGCTCTCGGCTTTGACCTGGATCCACTAGCCTGTCTTTGTAGATTACCTTGCATTGTATAATGGATTTAATTAGTGTGTGTTTTTATTCCCCAGAGTCGCTTGTATAGTTTAATCTTTTTTTATTATTATTATTTTGCAATCCACCTGATGTTTGGTCCAGTGTTCATATCAGGATTCGCACGTTCACCTTTTTGTTTTAACATGAAAACCATCTGCTTCCAAATCCAGATACTTACACAGCAGATTTCACAGAGAGAACCACAGTCTTATAGGGTCTGGTTTCAGGGAAGGGAAGAATTTTAACATAATTCCCCCTATTCATTGGATTATTAAACTTTGTGAAAGAAACGGGTCAGTAGAGTGTTGTGGTAATTGTCTTTATTTTACAGACTTCAGTTACCTGTATTTGTGTAGTGTGATTTTGGGTGGGAGAGATATTTAAGTGACTCTAGAATTACTAATCACGCAACGGTCACTTGTCCACCAAGAATACTGTAAACTTTGAAGCTGACATGATTCGGTTATAATTTGCGTTTTGCCATTGT